GGGCAAGGCACTGAGGAAATAAACATAAAAAGCCCCGTCCCTGCCCTCAAAGTTAGCGGGGACACAAGCTATCACTGCACGTGCTGTGGTGCAGGGTACACTGCGGCACACTGGGGTCCAGCTCCCCAGACTGGGAGGAGTGGAAGCAAGTCCGAAAACACTTCCCCAAAAGTGATAGCTGAACTGAGCTGTGAAGCACGCTTAGGTGACAGCCAAAGAAAGAGGGTCAAAGGGGGCAGGGCGTGCAATGGCTCCAACAAACAAGAGCTGGACGTGCTGAGAAAATCCTGGGTAGAGGAGCCATGCGTCACCTCTGTCCCCCTCCTGTCACAGCGTCTGCCTCTGTGTGAAACGCCAGGCACGTGGAAACAAGACAAAGAAAATACACCAAAAATGCTAAAATGATGTTACCGTGATGATTTCTCTGCTTTCCCAATCAGCTAAACTGAGAATACTGTGTTAATAACTTTTTAAACTCTTTTGAATGTCTGAACGACACTCTCGACCAAAACCAAGGAAGGAACAAACTCTCCAGCTGCTCGGACAACTGTAGCGATGACTGACTTTCTAGAAAATGACTTCCTAAATCAAGGACTGAAACAAGGTCCTCCAAAGTTGTTTCTCCTTCTGAGAAAAGTGCTCTTGATTATTTTTATTAGCGTCCTTTGACTTCTTTACGGCATTCAAAACACTCCACTTCAGCACCAGCAACTTCTTCGACATAGGAGCCTGTGAAACCAACTCCCATTCTGTGTGACTCATCTTCCACTTCAGAGGGGAGAGCCACAGCTTTGTAAATATTTAGAATAGAACAAAATCATCATTAAAATGTAATTGCTTTTTCACAACTACAGGCATTCCTGGGGCTTTTATTCAACACGTCTGTGGGCTTTGGGCTTGGTCCTGATACTTCACGGCCTCTTAGCTTCAGAGGCCTCTGAGCTCTTAGAACTCTCCTCTTCTTCTATCCAAACTTACCTTCAGGCTGACCTCATCTTGTCTCTTGGCTTTACACATTATCACCATGCTGAAGACTTCCCAATGGACCTCACCAGCCCAGGCCTTTCCTCACGATTCCAGACCTATTTATCGAACTGCCTACTTGACGTCCCCACATGGGTATCTAATATACACCTCAAAGTCACCATGTCCAAAGCTTTCCTGCCTCCACACCCGTTCATTTCAGATGCCCTCATCTCACTGGGTGGCAACTACTGTGCCCCCACCAAATTCCTGTGCTGAAGTCCTAACCTTCAGTACCTCAGAATGTGACCTTATTTGGGAATAGGGTTGTTGCAGGTATAACTGGTCAAGATAAGGTCATGCTGGACGGTGGGCCCTTAATCTGTTGTGACTGGTGTCCTGATTAAAAGGGGAGATTAAGGCACAGACATTTACAGAAGGCCAGCACCATGTTTTGATGCAGGCAGAGATGAGGGGAAGTTTCTAAGAGCCAAGAATGCTGAAATTGCCAGCAACCCAGCAGAAGCCAGGAGAGAGACGATGGAACAGATTATCCATTGCAGCCTTCAGAAGGAACCAGCCCAGCTAACACCGCTCTTGTAGGGTGAGACAATCCGTTCCTATAGTTTAGGCTGCCTGGTCCGTGCTACTTTGTGGAGGCATCCTGGCACACTGATACAGCAATTCCCTCCTTCCAGTTGCTGAGACGAAAAAACACGGTCCCACCTCCGGCTCCTGTCTCTCAAATAGCACCCCAGGTCTTTTCAGGTCTCCTCACTTTACCCTTGGAATCCATTCGGGGTCTGACCTCCCCCTATGCCCCCTCTCTCACCATCCACCAAGCTTTCGTGCCTCCTCCCCGGGCTTCTGTAAGGCGTCCTAGTTGGTCTTGTAGTTCCTCTTTGCTCCCTGCCTTCCCTGACAGCCAGAATGACCCTTATCGTTCATTCCTTTACTCAAAGCCGTCCACTGGGCTTTCCTCACATGCAAGTCAGTCATCCGCACGGCCACAGGGCCACAGTCCCGCCTCTGACCCTTCACGAGCTGCCCTCCTTTTCCTGCTCCACTCCTGTAACACCGGCCCCCTGGCCGGCCCTCCAATCACCCAGGTGGGCACTGGGGGCCTCCGCCCTTGCTGCAGTCTTTACATGAAGAAGTGTGACTTGTTCTCGGCTGCCTTGAAAGTAAAAATATGTAGTTGAGACAAACTACAGGAAGTCAAAGAGAAAGACCAGACCAAAAAAAAATGCGCTGTGAAATCCACATAAAAATAAATTTGTTTAATTACAAAGTTAAAGAAAACATGAATTCTTTTCTCTTCATATTCACTAACATCCTTCAGTGGCAAAATGGCAAACCTGCCTCCACGTAGCCTTCCGTGCCTCCCTGCCTCTGCGGTTTCTCCAGCACTGTGCTGAGCTCCCTGTCCCAACGACACCTGTGATGTTTTAGGCACATTCTCATCTTCTTCATCACAAACTTCCGAGTTCCACCTCAGTCATCCTTCCTCTTATTTCTAGACACTACCCTTTAATGATCGCATCCACTATCCCAGCCTCAAACAGCTCTCTTGGTGAATGACTTTCCAAATGTTTATATCCAGCTCCAAATGTTTTCTCCGGTGTTCCAATGTCACATTTTCCCCTTCCCCTATTTAACCTCGTGCCTCTGCATTCTATTAGCTTCTTACACATACTGTGTTCAGAACCACACTTACCTCTCTTTTCCAGAGTTTAGTATTCTGGATGTGCACTGCCATCTGCTTGTTACCCAGGTTCAAATCTCTTCCTCCCCCTCCTCCTCCACTGTCTAATCCAATCAGTCACCAAGTCCTGCTTGGTCCAGCTTTGCACCCTCTCATATGGCTTCTCTGCACCCCACTGTTGGCAACTTTGGTTTAAGCCCTTGTTACTTCCTAGGGGTTCTTCCCAAACTCTAGATTCTGCTTCCAATACTTTCTATCACAAATGAATGTGATAATAAAGAGTTCTGAATGTATCATTTCTATACTTAGAAATCTCCCATCACCCCTACAGAATGTAGGAGACGTTTAAATCACTCTCCTTACTAACAACCCCTCCTGCAGGGTCTCCACAGAAAGGGCGACCTTACGCTCACCACATTCCATGTCCCCGGCGTGGCGTTCTGGCTAACCACCCTGTACTGGTAACCACCCGTTACATAACCTAGCTAGCGTTTCCTCTCCTGGAAACTCCCTCCAACCCTAAAGAGTTCCGATGTCCTCCCAGCAGGAACTACCACGCTCCTCTCCTAACATCTCTGTGCTTTGCTAACCTCTCTCCTTCAGCGGTTCTGGCCCCTGCCCTTGCATTAGTGACCTGTGCCCTAATCCCTGGAGGGCAAAAGCCTTATTGCCGGCATTTCTCTGCTCTCCCTGCCATCAGCCCAGCCTTGGTGCTATTTATCGAGTGCATGAAATCACACTCCTAATCACATTATAGTAGAACACAAATCTACAAAAGGCATTTTACAGAAGGTGAATTAATGAGGCCAAGGTTATGAGTCCAATTCCCATGCAGTTCATTTAACTTTGCACGGCGGGCGGCGGGTGGGGGGAGCAGGGAACCAACCCAGAGATGGGGACTATCCTCAAAACTCAGCCAGCTGTCTCACAGACACACATTATGGATGTAAGAAACCGGCCACAAAGGGTGGATGCATTTGGGAAACTCTTCTCTCTACTGACGCTCTATCATGTGGTTATCTTTGAAAGACGGCATACGGCTGGATGGTTAGAAGTGACCGGTTTTAAGAGATATAGTTATACATTTTACAAGAGAGGGAAGGAGGGGAGAGAGGGGCAGTTCTTGAACTCATCCCTTTCTTAGAAACCGAGTGTCGCCAGAATACAA